ATTAGTTCTTCAAATAGGCTTTGCGTGTGTGCAGTTTCTTGAAGTTGCTGAGCTTCTGTATACTGAGCTATTTGCTTGTTTGCTACACAGAGCTCTCTTTCAAGGTCCGTAATACGCTGTAGCGCCCTCTCAAAAGTGTCAAACTGCTGGTCATAAGTACTGATAGTACTATTCAGTTCGTCCCGTTGTAAAACAACTTCTACATGTTGAGAGTGTAGTTGGGAAAGCTCATTTTTGAGCTGGGTATTCTTATCAATGATTTTCTTGATTTCAGTTTCACTCTCATCACGTTCACGAAGGAGCTGACTGCAAGTTTCCTTTGTTAACTTCAGTTCTTCCAGGATTACATTTACATTTACATGAACTACAACGAAATAGTAATAAAAGACTTGTAACGGAATAGTATTAAGTTGTAACATCGAACATTCTTCAAATGGCAATACAGTCAACAATTTAATAATTATATAACTGCGAGTGAGCTAGGCAGGGCGGCCGCTGAAAATTCAACGAGGCTCAACTTACGTAAGGCGGGCGCGGGTGGTTCGCTACCGCTCGTGAATAGATACGAACAAAATAAATGTATTCCATTTCCACGCAGACGAAAACTCCACTGAATAATAGACTATACTATTACGCAGTTCTAGAGGTATAATAATTTAATGTCAAGAAGTTCTACATCGCTTAATATTCATTTAGTAGTAGTCCTAGGGAATAGTTTTGTTATTTATTAACAAAACGGATATTTTTACAAATCCGAATGAAAATGCTGAAGAATCCTGCTGTTTGAGTTTAAATTTTAGAGCTTTTGTTTTTATTTATTTAATATTGAAATACTAAACAACGTTTACTTATCTTATAGTAATAGAACATTGAAATTAATTCCGTTTCTATTTCTTTACACAATACAGCCCTACTTGGTAACTGTCCAAGAAACTTCTAAGTAGCGTGTTCATTCGTAGTGAGCTTTCGGATTTTATTAACAAGTTCATCAAATACTAGCAACAAGTAACTTTTAAAATTATCAGAAAATATAAAGCTACTTAGTAATAAGTAACTCTCGGCATATATACTGGGTGGATAGACACCAAAGATACGGGTACTATTATATTACCTAAAATAAGGAACTCACTATTATTGAGGTAAATAGTGTCAAATCATCTGGATCTCATGCGTAAATGCGTCCCCCAGGGTTCTATTTTGGGTCCGTTCCTATTTTAATTGTATATAAACGATTTGCCATTTTTTACTGAGAAATTCTGTGAGATTGTATTGTTTGCTGATGACACATCTTTATTATTTAAGGTTGACAGGTCCAAGAATAACTATAACGATGTAAATGGTGCTCTCAAAAGTATTGCAATTGTTTAATGTAATAAAAAAAATTAAATGCTAATAAAACTAAATGCATAAAATTCGCTTTATCAAATGATAGAAGCGAACCAGATTAAATTAAATTAAACCGTTAAAAGCTAGATTTAGTTGAATCAACTTTATTTTAGGTATAACTATAGACTCTTATTTGCAGTGGAATCCTCATATTTCACTTTTAACTAGTAAAATTAGTTCAGCGGCTTATGCCATACAAAAAATAGACAACTTTCTGATGTAGATACTGTTAGGACTGTAAACTTAGTTACTTTCATAATATTGTATCCTTTGGCATTATTCTCTAGGGAACAGCAGCTGATATCGATACGGTATTTTTCAAAAAACGTGCTGTAATAGTTATTTATCAGATAACGTCAAGACAATCTCTCAGAGTAAATTTTAAAGAAATCGAGATTTTGACCGTTGCTTCTCAATTCATCTACCTTTGTATACATTTTGTTCAAAACAATATTAACATTTATCTCAAACACAGTGACTTACATACTTTTAATAATAGGAATAAAAATAAAACTTAAGTTACAATTGTACTGGTTATATAAAGTTGGTTGAACATGGATCATTTATAGGTCAAGGTATACATTTCTATAATAGGATTTGCAATGATATTCTAGATTTGCCTCTATATGAATTTCAAACGCATATTAAAAATACTTGCTAAAAAAGGGATATTATACTGCTTAACAATATTTGAATAATAAAACTACCGGGTCGTAATTTTTGCCTTCAGAAGTTTTTCGAAGTTATATTAAACTTGTCTCCTCAAGAGGAGAACCTTGCACTTAGTGTCTTTTATATACTTGCTAATGTATTTTGAAAATTATTTACTGGATATTTCGTGGCATTTTAATATTTATTGTAACCTATTTTACATTATATGATCAAAGTTGACCTGAATACATGTTTATCATTTTGATGTCAGCTTTCAATTAGACGAGAATGTATGAAATAAAACAGGGAAAAAAGCAGCCCTTGCTGAGTTTCTTGCGGGTTCTTCTCAGTACAAGGTCTCCCACCGTAGATTTGCAAATGGATGGCGTAGCTTTCGGCTTCCACATGTGTTTGTTAAAGCCTAAATTGAATAAATGTATATTGTATTGACTTTGATTAAAGAATTTAATTGCTTAGTACATATTTAAGTATATAAAGAAGAACTTTAACCAAAAAGGCAACTTCTTTGGTTGAAACTAACAACATTCGCTATATAGCATTCACCCTAATAGTGAGGGTGCTTATTAAAATCCAGCTGATACCGGGATAAGTTGACTTTTTCAATTATACGTTTCCTTTACTTTTAAGAAATACCTCAACATTTATCTCTAAATATGCAACATCTCAATAATAATGACCCCATTACTATCTGTTCGATAGCTTAGTGTCGGATTTCTCAATAAAAATCGGATATTCCGATTGTAGAATATTATTCATAGTAAAATACAGATCTTATTGATATTATGTGCGTACGTTGTCTTTTTGAATTCGAATTGAAAAGGGGAAAGTGAATATATATAAAATTAATGAGTGAGGGATGAATGTATGAACGGACGATGATGATGGACCGATTGCAGCTTATCTCGTCGAAGGATAGATGGCGTTAACTATCAATTATTTTTTTTCATCATCAGTCTATAGTCCGTTTTAGAAATCACAATTTTTAACATGCGATTTCGTAAATGACTCGGAGTCCAACGAGAAAGCCTTTACCAACCGCACAATCTCTTATCAAATTTATAATATGATTATCGCCCACAGTCTAAAATAGCCTTATACTGTTATGGCACTGTCTTTATGGAGAGAAATACATATGGAAGAAGAAATTCACAAAAAAAAATATCTATTTAAGTTTATAAAGTACCTAATTAATTATTATAATTAGTGGAAGGGCAATGAAATAGTTCGTCAAAGCACATGTTATAATTTATCAGTAGATATCGTAATTTATTAGAATCACCAAGTAACATGAAAATCCGAATCCAAAAGCAGTGCACATCTAATTTTGAACTAAATATTAATTTAATACAAAAATAACTAGTTCATCTGAAATAAAACTTGCTTCGTAGCTAAAAAATTAAAATGACTTCATAAGTTAGGTATCTTTTTTAATTCGAGAGAATTAATAATTCGTAGTCACGACAATTTTCGTGGTTTCTTCAATTTGGACATTTGTTTATTTAATTTCAAGTTAGGATTCCTTTGATATTATGTTAGCTTATAGAATTTAATACGAAAGTTGTATGATGTACCTTTAGTTATATTGTACTTTTAAATAAACTACCTAATTGAGGCAACTAATTGTTGAAGTGCCTTAGTACTCTTATTTTTATTGATACTTATATCTCTACACGGACAAATGCTAAAGCTTCACTTCAAATTAAATAAGAATGTTATACTTATTTAACCACTAACGTAGAAAAAGTTCAAACTAAATAAAATCAATTTGGTTTGGCAAATGCCTCTAGGAAATTACCATTTCGTTGGCCTACTTTGATAAAATCGCGATACTCTTTGAATTTTGGCTAGGCACTTGTGTGGTTCATAGTTAAAGTAATGAAAAAGATTATCTGCTTCATTCTAAATAACATTTAAGAAAAAAAGGGAAATAATAAAAAAACCTATCTTAGTCGTAATTTTGGATATTTTTATTATTTCTGTCATATATACATATATATTCATTACTTATACGTATCTTATATATAGTTAATACTTTAATTAACATAAAAATATGAAATTTAACAAATGCATTTAAAAAACAAATGGACCTCTGTGAGCTCCTCAGCGCGTTGAAGTCTTTTTAAAGTAATTTTGACCTTAAGCATTCTATATCAAACGTTAACTTACTAGTTGTTATTTCTCACTATTCACGAAAATAAGGTTCATAAAAGGCAGGTGAATTAAAATAAGAATGGTCGTTTATTCAAAAAAATCTTATGTAATTTTTTTTAAGTTCGGAAGATTGGTAACGAAGATATAAACATGATAGAGTTTGTCCTCCACATACCCTCGACGGGCAGGTGCTCGCTGCACGAGTGCAATCGTAATCTTACTTCCTCGAACCACAGTGGTGTGATTATGATCAATATTTACGCAGATGTGTCACTTGGTCGCCATCGCATTATGTAATATCAGCGATTGTTTAATCTAGTGGCTGCCGCAAGGACGACCTAAGGCCTCCTGAATAGTGCCGGCTCGCGACAACCCCGGCTCGCCGACAAGGCGCGCCTTTACTCATGTCAAACTAACTAAATAAATTAACAACCATTATATCTAGACATTTATGCGACAATTTTTTTACACCGATTAACATATTCACGAAAAAAACGAACATGCAACCCTCGAATAACAGACAGGAGTATAAATACTGTACGAAAACATGGTAAGACGCGGCTAAGAGATCGATTATAATAATACGATTAAAACAAACTCGAAACCTGCGGGCGGGTGCCATACGTAAACTACGAGGGGTGAACGTGGACATAGAACTCGCACTACGACGTTCCTAGTGGAAAGCTACGAAAACCACGTGAACGATGTCAAATGGGAAGGGAACAGCTGATCGTGTGCGGGGTGGTCGCGGCGGCGGTGAGACGGTGCGGTGCGTGCGGCGCGGTACTTACCGGCTGCGGTCGCCAGCCACCACCAGCAGCAGCAGGCGGCCACGAGCGCCCGAGCGCCGGCCATCTCAGCGGCGCATGATACGCGCGCGCTCTCGCCGGCCGCCCCGGCGGACTGATGAGCCGCCCCGCTCGGGCGCGCGATCGATGCGGCTCGCGCGCGCCTCTCGGGCACGCCGCACGCACCCTCCGGCGGCGCCCCTGCCCCGCGCCCGCGTCCGCCCCTGCCCCGCCACTGTTTTCCGAGTTTCCTTGGAGAGCGCGCGCGCTGCCGCGCTGCCCTCTTTTCAGGCGGATCGCTGACCGGCCCTAATTGATTGGACCCGTTCATTTGCCGAACGAGTTTTAGGTCAGTACCGCCGCAGACACATAGGCTCCCAATTCTTATGTCGCGGCATTTTCATATGACCTTGAAATTTTAAAGCTTTTCCTAACCTCTATCTATTATGCGAGAGACCGAAAAATATCATCTAATAGAATCATTATGCAATCTGAAAAGATTCTCGATTTAAAATGAAAGAGAATCTCCCTATATATGTTATCAAAATTAAAAGGCATACAATATAAATATTTCATGTATACAATAATATTTTTCTAAATATGTAGTGGGAAATATACTTAGTAACTTAAGAAAAATTAATGTAATAAGATAGGAGAGATTTTTGATTTTGATTCTGTCTGCCCTAGACAGAATTTTCCATTCGAGTTGCAGCTCTCGTCGTGATAAGCAAAGAAACGTTACAAAAAAACTGCAATGAGCTACTAATAATACTATTATTAATGTCTACTTTTTCATATATTTTTATTTTGACTTTTACAGGCAAAAATTTCAATGGAGGAAGAAGGCAGTTCATACAACTTGATTTTTTCTAATATTTTCTTTAGTTATACAATCTTTTGCTCGAGATATGTTTCTGACAGTAAGTTTTGCAGAGCCCCACGATACCGGGGACTGGCTAAGAGCCATAGAGCAACAGAGCCGACGAGGCCAGCAGGGGAGTAGGTATACATATTAAGTCATATACATATCTTGCCCCTCCGTCGAATTGTGCATACAAATTGGGCATACAACTGATATACATGTGCAGAATTCGGCGGTATATTGTTTTACTGTTTATGTGTGAGTGTAGTAATTACAGTTCTTTTTTTCGCATGTACGTTAAATTGCATTTGTGTGCATATTCGCCCCGTTAAAAATGCCAGTATAATTTGAATATTTTTTTCTCTTTATTTTAGTTTGTGCCAAATCATTACATACTCGTAAATATTAAGTACAAAAATTACACATTATTTTATAGACAATCAGTGTAGTCTTTGTTGAATTTTGGTGTAATATTTATTTATTTATATATTCATACCTACAGTTTTTTTGTGCACAGTCTTCCCAACTGTTACTTAGATTTAACGAGCCACTTATAAAGCTATTTCGAGTATAGTTTTTGTGAAAGACTGGCGGTACAAATGTATTAAGAATGCGATTATAAGTTATAATTATGTAGCGGAGGATTTCTTGGATTAAATAACGCAGAACTCGAAATAAATAATATTAATTCGCTGTTTAACAATTATATTTGAAGAGAAGAGTAAAAGTACAGTTGATCGTTACGCGCTTAAAAATTGAATAGAAAAAAAAAAGTTAACAGCGTTGAACCCGACGAATTTGCCGCTGCAGATCATTCATAGCCTTGGCGTCAACATGCCCCCGGCCTTGGAAGCTGTAGCTTTCAATGATGCTCCTTGGTTTCTACTGGAAGTGGACATATTCTCGAGAATGCTCGCCGCACAATTCCCGATGCAGTCCGGATATCAGCAACGCGCGAAATGCCATCATTGCCAGGATAAACCTTAGTCACTCTTCCCAGGTTCCACTTTAATGGCGGTGCGTTCGTGTCTTTAATGACCACCAATGTTCCGATTTCTATGCTAGACTTATTCGTTTTCCACTTCGACCTCGTCTGCAGCTCCGAAACAAACTCAAGGGACCAGCGCCTCCAAAAGTGTTGTCGCATTTGCTCAACCCGTTGATACCTTGTCACACGATCCATGGGTCTATCTTCTAGATTAGTGCAAGTAGGGGCAGTGAGAGGTCGACCGATGAGAAAATGAGCAGGAGTGAGCGGTGACATATCTGTGGGGTCTGAAGAAAGTGGAGTCAAAGGTCGGGAATTCAGGACCGCCTCGATCTGCGCCAACATAGTAGTGAACTCCTCGAATGTCAAGTGTGCATTACCTATTACTCGCCGGAGATGATACTTACAGCTCTTGACTCCGGCCTCCCACAATCCACCAAAATGAGGCGCATAAGGGGGGATAAAGCTAAACTTAATACCTTGACTAGATGCATAGTTAATAATTTTATCTGACGAATTAGAAATAAATTTTGCGAATTCATTCATGAGCCCAACGAAACATTTGCCGTTATCAGAATAAATTTGTGATGGTTTTGAACGCCTAGAAATAAACCTTTTTAAAGCAAGCAAATAAGCGTCGGTTGTGAGATCACTAACCAACTCTAAATGAATAGCACGAGTAGAAAAACATACGAATAAGCATATGTATGCTTTAATAGTCTTAGCTCCCCTACCCTTTCTGTTTAATATGAGCACCGGCCCCGCATAATCAACACCACAGATCCTAAAGGGATAGCCTGGAGTCAGTCGGTCCTTGGGTAAATTACCCATGATAGGTTCAGGTGTCTTAGCCCTCAACCTCGCACACCTAACACAGTTATTAACTACCTTTCTAGCAAGGTTGCGTCCTCCTATCGGCCACCAATTTTCTCGAATTGTGTACAAAAGTAGCTGAGAGCCAGCGTGTAATAATTTAAGATGCTCTTGTTCAAAAAGAATAACTGATAATCGATGTTTGGATGATATTAGAATAGGATGCTTTTTATTATATTCAAATTCAGAGGAGCCAAGTCGACCACCAATGCGTATAATCTGATAGTCGTCGATGAACGGGCTTAAATTCAATAAATTATGTTTATGTGGTAATATTTTTTTATTAATTAATAGTTCATAACTATCTGGAAATGATTCCATCTGTGAAAATCTAACCAATAAATTAAGGGATGTTTTTAGTTCATCGGTAGAAAGTGGCCCGGTGCGTATATTGTTTTTATTATTTGAACTTCTATTATAACAAGCACGTTTCAAGCGAGCAACGCCACGAACCAGACGATCGAGTTGCGAGAACTTATGGAATGGAAATCTAAATTGCTTATTTTCATTTGTAGTAACAAGAGCGTGTGTCACATTTTTTATTTCAGGCAGCTCTTGCTCTAAGTTGAATTTAGACGCAGATGCATAATCAAAGTACGTTTCGCGAAGAAACTCTGGTCCGGTCCACCATTGATCGGATTCGCTTAATAAATCTAACTCCAAACCTCGTGAAATTAAATCGGCTGGGTTGTCTTTACCATTGATATGACACCATGGATTTTCTTTTGTCAACTCGCGTATTTCAACAACTCGACTTTGAACGAAAGTTTTTAGTAGACTTGGCGTCGTGCGAAGCCAGCCCAAAACAATAGTGGAATCGGTCCAGAAAAACGTATTACGAAAGGTGCAACGCAGCGAGGCAGTTACCCTTTCAAATAATTTAGCGCTGAGTAAGGCACCGCATAGTTCCAATCTGGGAATACTAACTGGCTTTACAGGTGCAACTTTGCCCTTTGAACAGAGAAGTCTAGTCAGTACCGTACCATCTGCATGAACAGTACGAATATATGCGCACGCACCGTAACCCATCTGCGAGGCATCGCTAAATAGATGAAGTTCGATATAGCTACTTTTAGGACCTATAACGCAACGTGGTATCCGCAAATGGTTCAATATGGGTAGGCATTTCTCAAATATACACCATTCTCTCGCTATGTCACTAGGAACGGCATCGTCCCAATCCAGTTTTAGTAACCATAACCGTTGTAACAATATTTTGCCTCTCATTATTACTGGGCTAAGTAAACCAAGTGGGTCAAATATTTGAGAAACACTGGACAATATGAATCGCTTTGTGATCCGTGACGTAGTGCTTTTAAATTGCGTATGATAATAAAACTCGTCACTCATATTATCCCAACCCAAACCTAATGTACGACAATTATTATTTTCGCCTAATGAAAGATTCTTTTTAATATTGCTTAAACTATTTGTATCAAAATTGAATACCCATTTACGCAAAGGGAAACAACCAGATGCCAAAACGTTTTTAATCTGCTCGCATAATTGTAACAAACGTTGACGACAATCAAACCCAAAAATCAAATCGTCTACGTAAAAATCTTCATTAATTATTAATTTGACGTCCGGGTCATTACATTCTGCTGCTAATTGTTTTAAACATCTCACCATAAGAAAAGGAGCCGAGGCAGTACCATACGTAACAGTGTTTAACCTGTAACACTCCAAAGGGTCGCTAGGATTGTCACGCCATACGATCATTTGGAGGTCTCGTTGCTCTTCATTAATTAAACACTGTCTGTAAGCCTTCTCAATATCAGCACAAACTACGAACTGATACTGCCTGAATCTAAGCAGAATGGCAAACAAATCGCCCTGTATTGGAGGCCCGATTAATTGCAATTCGTTAAGTGACACATTTGAACTTGACTTTTGGCTCGCATTAAAAACCACTCGCAATTTTGTTGTGGTACTATGATCACGAAACACCCCATGATGAGGCATGAAATAATATGGTTTAGAATATGTATCAACTTTAGACATATGACCTAAACTTTGATATTCATGAATAAAATCAGAATACATTTTTTTTAAAGAAGGATTGCATTGTAATCTCTTTTCGAGCGCCTTAAAACTACGCTCCGCAATAGAAAAAGTATCGCCTAAATTATCTAATGAACGCTTGAAAGGAATTTTAACGCAAAATCTACCATCCGCTGTACGCTTTGTGTTTTCAAGAAAATGCTTTTCGCAAGCTACCTCGTCGTCGCTAAGTAACATAGGTTTTGGAATCTCTTCTAGTTCCCAAAACATTCTTAACTGTGAATCAACAGACTGGCTAAAATTACACAGCACCGAATCATCGCTTTTCAAGTTATTAGAATAAATAGTTCCTGATATGATCCATCCTAATTTTGTATTCTGTAGGAATGGCCCTTGTTTTAAACGCATTTTTCCTTCGCTTAATATGTTCCAAAACGCATCAGCACCAATTAACATATCAATAGGCCGGCTTTGGAAAAATGTAGAATCTGCCAATTGTATGTTATCTGGTAGCTGTAAGGATTGCAGAACGTCTCTTTGAATAGTAATAGGAGGTAAAGAACAAGTGATTTGAGGTAAAACTAAACACTGTATCTGCATGAGG